AAGGTTTTAACTTTAATAGATACTATATAAATGTGAACACATTAAAACACTAACTATTTATTTTTTCACATAGACTGATTATTATTATTATACTATTGATCCTTTTTGCACGAAAAAAATACTATAAAGTTAAAACCTTCAGTTTATTAACTAGAATTTATTGTACCAGCATAAAAAAAAAGATTAGAAAACTTGTAACCGTGGGTTCTTTTGATTAAATTTTCTGTAAAGTAACTCAAGATATGGTGGTACAGAACTTAAAATTCTAAGAAACACAGCGTTCTTTCCCAATGGATCCGTGATGTCTATGATATTCTAAAAAGTCGAAAAAAAAGTTTTACAAAAAATAATTAAAGCTAGAGAAAAAAGTTAAATGAGAAATTTGTAAGTATTAAAAAGATTATCGATCCATTTTTTTTCCTTTCGAACAGTGCACTACTTTTCGATATGTATCGAAAAAACTGCCGAAAATCGACTTTTTTGTATTTGCCGTTGTTTTTTCAATTTAACGTTTTTTAATTTGCCACTGGAGATTTATCGATTTTTCTAAAAGACGGTGCTCTCGAAAATTTATCTCCGAAAAACCATTTTGTGTTTATTTTTTTGTTTATGAGTTGTGCTTTCACAGTAAAAAAAAATTGCAAAGATTTTATTAGTTTAAAGTGTCCAAAAATGAATTTGGAAAATTTTGGATTTTGAAAATTGAATCGTAATTTTTTTGTTGTAAGCCCTTACTAAATTGTATTGGTGTTTATCTCATCAAGCTACCCCATGTAAGTACAAAAGGATGTCTATATGTGCTCATGAAGTCGAGATATTGAAAATTTTATAGGCTCACACAGTTTTGAAGGCGCCAATGCAGTTTTCATGTTGGCTGCATGAAGTACACCCTTCTTCTTCCTTACGAGTCGCGCTCGTATGCTTCACTTTGATTTTTGTTTATTAATGCCATGGGTCGATGAGGAGATTTGGGCTACTGAAAGTGAATTCAACTTTTTTCTCCGTAAAAACAGGCGTCATACACAAATATCTTTCTTTTAAATTGACGTAAAAATGCCAGCAATTAATTCCTGTAACAGTCATTATCAAGAAATGAAAATTGGAAATCATATTAAAGAAAAACGTGACCAAAGCAAATTAAATTTCCCCAAATTCATTTTAGGGCAATTTTAAAATAATAAAATCCTTGCTATTCTTTTTTACCGTGAAAGTACAACTCCCACAAAGGAAAAAATGAGCTTAAAATGGTTTCCGTCAGATCTTCTTTCGAGATGGAGGAGCCGATTTTTAAGAGCACCGTTTTTTCGAAAAATCGATACATGTCGAAAATTTTTCAATATTTTTTCGTTTATAAAAAAGGTACCTTTTTGGCTTGCCAAGGACTAAATTTACAACTAGTAGCAAATTAAAAAACGTCAAATTGAAAAAAATACGGCGAAAACAAGAAAAGTCGATTTTTAATATTTTTTTCGACATATCTCGAATGCACTGATCGAAAGTAAAAAAACAATAGATCAGTGATGTTCAAGGGTTCGAGAAAGAAATTTTTAATGGCTTTCAGTTTGTCGGGATTTGGTGAAACTCCTTCAGCAGTAACAACATGTCCTAAAAATTGTACCTCTGCGCAAAAATTCACATTTACCAGGTTGTAGTTTTAGATTATACTGTTTTAATTTTTCAAAGATAAGTTTAAGATGATATAAGTGTTCTTGCAATGATTTTGAGAATATTATAACGTCATCGATATACACAAAACAGAATTTGCATATATAGGGTCGTAGAATATTTTCCATAACTCTCTGGAATGTTGCGGGTGCATTTTTCAAACCGAATGGCATCCGAAGATACTCATAGTGTCCTCCTTCTACAGTAAATGCGGTCTTTTCAACAGATTTTTCGTCGATTTCTATTTGGTGGTATCCCTGAGCTAGATCGAGAGTAGAAAAATAGGTACATCGTCCTAAATTGTCCAAAATTGTATCAATGCGCGGTAAAGGATACTTATCCTCCACGGTTACCTGGTTTAATTTACGATAGTCTATTACCATCCTATATTTTCGTTTTCCACTTGCGTCTTGCTTTTTTGGTACAATCCACACGGGTGATGAATATGGTGATATGGAAGGTTGGATAATATTCTTCTTTAGTAAATCTTCAATTTGTTGTTTTATGTGTTCCTTCAGGTGATAAGGATGTCTGTAACCTTTGACGTAAATTGGGTCATCATTAGTTGTTCTAATGTTATGTTTAACAGCGTTTGTGAATGTTAGTCCTGTTTTGTTATCATAAAAGATGTCGTGGTAGTCATTTATCAGTTTCATTATTTTTGCCTTTTCTTCTACATTCATATGGGAAACTCTGATTAATTCGCTAATGTCTGCTAAATTTTCAGGTTGGTCGAATGGAAATACTTTTGATTCGTCATACGCATCCATAGTCTCTACTTGTACAGGTTCATCAAATGTATAACTTGTTTCTTCGTTACANCTTTGTAAAATTGCGTGTAATTTTGATTTGGTTTTTGAACAGTCTGCATCAAATCGTATTCAAGAGTTCTTTCATTTCTTTTGTCTTCAAAATTTTCTATCAGCGCGGATTTTAATAGAGCCCAAGTAGAAGTGTTTTTATACGAAAGCATATCTCTAGCCTCTCCCCTTAATCTATTCTTAATTACTTGCAAAATACTGTGGTCTAGCATTATTACAATATGTAGTTAGAGCAATTTCACAATCTGACAAAAATGTTGACAATTGATGGGGTTCTCCGGAATAAAATGGGATTGCATTGATGTGGGTAAATGCGTCAGATAAAGAAAATGTTTCTTGTTCAGAAGTAGTCATTGTTAAAACTGGTGATGATAATTTAGATGGAGCGAGATTTAGTTTTACTTTTGAATTACGGGATAAATTCAAAGATTCTTCAACGTCTGAATTATCAGAGGTGGTTGACATGAAAAAGCGTTTTTCGTTTGTTTTCAGGGAAGCAAAACTGCTTCAAAAACAAAAAAGAAAAATGTGAGAATTGGTACTCACCCTAGGATCAAAGAAAGTACGAAATAAGTTGTCATCAGTCTTCAACTGAACTCTTCGCGTGTGAATAAGATCGAAGTCCCTCACGTTGATCCCTGTTGTTTTGATTCCTGTTGATCTTTCTGGAACGATCGTAGCGAATGTTGTCGTCTACGTGGTGTCCAAATTGTTGTTGTTGTTGTCCGACGGTATACGCGTAAATGCAGCACAAGTCTATACAGAACGCGTATCGAGAGAAGCTCGAATCGGAAAATAAAGAACCGAAAATTCACCGAAATCACAATGCAGATGCACTATATGAATCGTTTTTCCGATCCTGTTCGCAGCGCCAGTGATGTTCAAGGGTTCGAGAAAGAAATTTTTAAAAACAATTAAAAACTCTTAAACGAACAAAATTTGACTTTATTGAAATGTAAACACACTTTTGTTATAGGCACAAGACAAAAGTAAAGTAACATAAATGTATTGCAGTAATATTTATAATGTCTAAACAATAGATTCATTCTAAAAGTTAAGCATTCTCGGTGATGCAGGCGCAGACCGCTTATCTATTATGCGTAGGCAGGGCTGTGGACATCACTGATCGATAGACCTTTTCAATACCTACAACTTCCTCATTTAACTTTTTCCTCTAGGATCTTTATTATTTTTTTTTTTACATTTGCAAAAAACCGTTTTT